GCATGGTGACAACTGCGCATGCTATTACAAGTCTTTCTCCTTTCAGTCATCTGCTGACACACCAATTAAATAAAGTGTCACCACTATTGAAACAGCCTATTGCCTTGCCTACTAGTGATTTGCCTGCAGAGAATAATAATAATATATTACAAATAAACCTGAATACATTCTTTTAGCAAAGGGCTTCTCATAAGGGATAAAAATTAAGTTAAAGGCTCCCCCCATAACAATGAACAAATTAATACTGCATAGTATTACTATTGGCTCAGGTAAATTGCACAATTTCCCCCATAGTTTCAGTAGAGAAACTATATCTGAAAATATTTTTTTCCAGCACACATTACGGTATTAATGAGCCTTATATTAGAAATCAGTGACTTGATCTAGATATGTGACGCTATTAACAGAACCAATATGAGTCATACAGACACATAAAAAAATAGTTGAAATACATATGGTGATTTAACAAGTCTAGCATGTAAGTTAGTTTTAACTGCTTATAGAATAGGGAAGCTCTTTGTGTGAGAACATGGAATGAATTCAAATATATATTGTTAAACGACGACAACAAAAACCAAGCAAAAAAGCCCCCCCCCCACAAAAAAAACTAGGGTGTAGATGGTGCATATTCCAAACTATGATCCTTTATCTGCATTTAATTTCAAAATCTAAAAAGCTTTAAAAATACCCAAATCTCTTTTTTTATAAATTTAGTGCCAACACTTGACGGTAACACCTGGATGCAACTGACAGGCATTTACGGTTCATTTTTTTATTCTTAGTGTGAATATTCAGTTTCCCTGGAGAAATAATGTGTTTGATTACCGGGTGCTGCTCAGACCCCCTGAGGATATCATGTAATTTATGCTATATGCACTATATCCCTTTTCTAAAATCCAGTAAGTTCTGAATTCTAAAACATATCTGGACCCAAAAGGTTTTGGATAGTAACTAAATTTGTGGTATGTGAACATCTGCATCAAGGAGGATAAACTTACATTTGGGTATATAAATATCAGGAAAAAAATTTATAATGATACTAATAACATTTGCTGCCTTCAGGAAGGGTTCCTGATCAGCTGGAGTTAGGAGTGGGGGAGAGATTTAAACTTGGTCTAAACCATCTTGTAATTTTCAAATTTTGAACCACTGAACATGAATCATCAAGAAATAAAATTAAAATTAAAAAATTGCAACTTGTAAACATATGGCCAGAGCCCAATCTATTTAAAATATGTCCTGCTAACAAGTTTTCAGAAGGCAATGCCGAACTCCCACAGTTGGTGGGTGGGTACCTTTGACCAATCCTTCCTGGTCATAAGTTCCAGTTTCTCTTGACTCTCGTTTTAAGCATGCCAAGTCTTTCCAAGGCAGCCCCCTCTTCTTCTAAAACATTGTTTACAGTCCATTTCTTAAATGAAACTTCTCTCTCTAATCCACCTGTGCTTACTTCAACTATGTAACCCTATAAAACAAACGTACTTATTTTGTTCTACCTTCTCCATTAACACTAGAAATTCATGGAAACCGCGATGAAATGATTTGCTTTTAAATTTTTTACTGGGCAGTTTTTCTTACATTGATGGTTAATTTACACTGTGTGCATATTTGGTCTTCCTAATAAGCCTTCCAGGGACGGCCCAAAGACGAAGTGATAAATATTTGCCAAACTGAATTACGCTTATAAAACAATACTTTCCCATTAAGTCTTTATAATGAAAATCAAATGGAAAACATAATCGAGTTAGGCTGTTAAAAGACTCAAAAAGTGCCTGGAATAACAAGTGCATGTGTGTGGGACAGAGCCCTGGGTGGACAGAATGCTGCTCTGAATTTACCACCCAACTATTGATGCATGCACTTATGGTGGAGAGACCCCAGTTACATTCCGGAGTGTTTACATATATGTGAAATGACCTACTAAGAAATACTGAGGGTTAAAAACTATATTTTGTTCCCCATAATGTTAAAGAAAAAAATTATGTATAGATGTTATTAATAGTCCCCAGGAATCTAAAAGTCAAAAATACTTAAAAATCATGAGCTACTAAATTTAGAGACAACTCAAATGCTTATCTTTCTTAGAATCCTTGAAATCACTTCAAAACGATCTTTGTAAAGGTCACTAAGTTGTATTGGTATACATTGGCAGCTTAACAATTAGTTAACATGGTATTCACATGCAATTTAACAATTAGTTAACAATTTTTGCCTAGTATACTAATTGAACAACAAACTATTGAGTCAGTTTCTTTTTATTATTTTTTCCTTTCTTTTTTAAAGGCAAACATCAGAGACTTTTGAAGAAGGGTAAATTCCATCCAGCAAGATAAAATTTCCCTCTGACTATACATTTCATTCAAATCCACTGTTTTGGTGTTGGCATTCAAAACCAAACCAAGTATATTTTTTCTTGGAAATTAATCCTACTGAAGAAGTATACTTTTAAGCACAAACTGAAGCCAAACACCCATGTAGTTTTCAATACAACTATGTACTTGTTCTAGCTGATAATCAGTGTTGTTTTTTTTTTTTTTTTTAAAGGCAGAAAAACCTTGGCAATAATTTGAAGTCACTACTGTCAATATTCTCGTTTTTCAGATGAGAAAACTAAGTTCAGAGTAGTCATAGTTTATTGGATGTGTTCTATTGGCCAGTGTACAATTATTAAAGAACTGGCTAGTTTTATTTAAAGAAACAAGTATATTATTGCCCAATAAGCACCCAAACCCAGGTCTGTGCAGAATGGTATGGTGGAGAAGAAGGAAAATGAAGTAGCTGGAGAAGACACCCCAGGGTCAGGTTTCATCTTCCCATCCTCCTTGGGTGGCTAAGCTTCCTGCCACCCATTGTAGAATTTCAGCTGCACCAGTAATAAGTGAATATAGATGCAATTGGTTGTTTACATGTTTGTCTCACTTTGAAAACCCATTTTTTTTTTCTTACTACTTTGTCATTTTGTTAAACTAGTTTTCCTATCAGCAAAATTTAAAAAACATTTTTATTGGTGCTTTTTCATTTACATAATATTGGGGTTCATTATGACATAATTGCAAATGCATGGAACATAATTTGCTCCACCCATTTCTTGAACAACATGCATAAGAAGGCTTTCCATGAACATCCATCAGATAGGCCTGATGGATGCATTATTTTAGGGTAAAAATGGTCACAGCAGAGTTGGGACATCCCTGAAGGACTAGAAAATGGTGGTCGAAAGGGGGAAGTGGGAAAAGAAAAATGGAGAACTGGGAGGCAGATATAAGTAGAGAGCAAATAAAACAAGAGGATCGTTAAGAAGCACACAAAAAGCCAAGGACACACTGCACTACAAAGGTGAAACCAAAAGAAGGTTAAGCCCTTAGTCTCTCCAGAGATGAATGGGTGCATCATCTTTAGAGGACACAAAACCATAGATTCACATAATTTTAATGATAGTCTTAAGTGATTTGGAGAATCCTTTGTTCACATATTTCAGACAAAAGCTAGTCAGTATCTGAACTGTGTAGAGCTGACTCAGTTTATGGTGACTCTCAAACTACCCTCCTTTTGTGCATGGAATGAAGATTTTACCGGACAGTTTATGGCTGGGCAACCACAGGCTCACCCACATGTGAAGTGAGAGGCGTGGAAGAGCTGCTGTGTAAACTGAGGGACACCAGAAAACTAGTCCAAAGAAATACATCTACCCTAAAAACTCAGGACCCACTAAACCTAGCAAACTTTAATAATGGGAAAAAAACTTTTTCTATAGAAATCATACTGAGAAAATGGAGCAATGGTTCACTTGGGTCTGATTTTCATTTCTTTACATAGGATTGAAAGGAAATGACCAAGGTGGCCTAACCTAACTGCAGGAGCAGCAATGACAATATCCATCACAGACATGCCACTAGCTGCAGAGAAAGATGACAATGCAAATCTGCTTAGCAAGAACAGCAGGATGGTCTAACAGATTAATAATGGTAATTAAAGCTTTAGATGCTAAAAAAGAGAGTGACAATCCCAAGGATATTTAATTGAAAAATGTACAATAATCATAACCTGTCCACAGCACACCAGGAGCTGGGTATGTTCCAAGAAGGCCCCCAGATACCCACTGTGCTGCCCTTGCCCCCCCACAGCCACTTGGAACCCTTTTTTCACACTCTGTGTAGAACAAGCCCTTCTCATGGTTCAGGATCCAACTCTAACCCTCTTTCCTCCTATGAGGCCTTTCCTGAAGCTTCCACGTGGATAAATCCCTCTGCTCCTCTAAGCGTTAATCAGCACTTAAAAGATTCTGAAAAACACAGTGGATTCTGTCATGTCCCCTACTCTTCTTATGTCACAGTGAGGAAACCCACAGCTGGGGTTCCCTCTTGCTCCCTCCAGAACCCCTTCTATACCCCGCAGTGTTTGCTCACAGTCACATTGACAAGCGCGTGTTAATAAAGGAGAGTGGTCTAAGATTTCATGCCACAAAACCCAGGGTGACCCGGTCTGTGAGGACCGACTTATAGGCTCCTATTTTAAATTAATTCTTCCAGTGTCATTTTATAGACTATAAATCTACCCTACTGTATATACAGAGAGAAACTGCTTTTCAATTATTTCCCCAAAGCCTACACAGACACACTTAGATAAGGATAAAATGAAGATGTTTTAATAAGCTTAAGACAGACATTTCACACTGTGAAATGCAGACTAGTCTAAGAATTTCCTCATATTTTAAAATCTGGCTGTTTCTTCTGAACAGGTTGACTAAAGTAATGCAGGTAGCAATACAGAAACGCAGGTGTGTAGGTTGGTAGTTGTGTTGAGAAGTCCAATCAAGTCCTTCTCAGCAAGGTGAGACCCAGGACAAAGCAGCCCATGTTCAGCCCATAGCTGTTTAAACTTTTGAAGCAGATGCACCCAGTGGAGAATCAGGTCAGACTGAGTTTCAGAAGGGAAATCTGCAGTACAAGTATCTGTCTCTATAGCCACAGTTTGCATACACCCTGGATCAGCTTCAGGAACTTAAACAGAGGTGCGGCCTGGGCTTTCTTCTTCTTTCTTTTTTTTTTTTTTCAGATGTGTATGCAATGTACTTAAAACTATTTACCCTAAACTGGAATTTGGATGAGAATTTCTGCAGTGAGACTTATGAGCACCAACAGTCCCACTGGGTACAGTGCCTCAGAAGCAGTATCCAATGTCCAGTGTGACAGCAGAACAACTCTTGATGTGCCATTCAGGGGTAAGAGCTCACAGATGCTGAGCAGCATTTCAAATGCTTATGGCATAGCAACTCATCGAGTGCACACACTAATCCTATGGGTTCTATTAACAATCACCCTCACTTTACAGATGAGGGAAACAAGGCATGGAGATGCAAAGTCAACTGCTTGTGAGGCCACTCAAAGCAACAGAGCCAGTTTTCTGGTTCTCAAGTCTGTGTTCTTAACCACTACCCCATACTGCAGAAATATTTCAAAATAATTCCCTAAAACTCTCTGAGGAAAAAAGAAAATCAGGCTCTCATGTTAAAGATGAATCATTTCGCTTTTCTCCCCTCTGAATTTCTTGGTGATGTAGCTCACACTCACTTCTTTTCTGATTTCAGGAACCACAATCTAAATGAGAGCCAGCTTGAGCTGGCTAATTGCCTCTCCTTCCCAGGACCACACTGACTAAAATGAGGGAGGGTCCTTTATCAGAGGTGAAACTACAGAACAGTGCCAGGATAGGCTGGAGACCTGTGTTAGAAGACCTGGGGACCAAGACGCCCATCTCTCACCTGCAGTTCCTGGAGAGGAAGGACTACCCTAGTGCATGAAGACCAGGGTTCCTCAGTATTGCCTTCATCTCAGACTCACCTTCCAAATTATAGCACAGGCTCATTCTGGTCTGTCTTGCGGGATGGGATTGGGGTGACAACCCTGCAAATCTGAGTGAGTTCCTTTGAAGGGGAGAGCTGGTGGAGCCATGCAACCTGCAGCCACTAAACACAAGCGGCCCAAGGGGCTGGAAGGGGAATCCTGTGAATGAGCTCCCGCGCCCAGGGCCTAGGGACTTCTCTGTAACTTGACTTCTCCCTGCTGAAGATCAACTTCCCCAGCTCCTGCTCTCTGTGCACCTCTCTCAGCCTACTGAGTGATTAACCTGACCACAGACCTATCTCATTCATGTCTCCAGTCTCAGTTCTAATGGAGGCCTGTGAACACTGTAAGGAAGACAGAGAAAAGCCAAGGCAATGTCAGTTATCTCGACTCAAACAGGCCAACAAATGGCAGGCCGGGATGGATCTGCCCTGAGTCACACAGGCCAAGACACAGTAGGCTAAAACCAGCACTGGGTACCAATTCTATACCCAATTCTCTTCTCCTAGGAATTCCTTCTCTTCCTTCTAACAACTGTTTTGGGTGATGCTCCCACATGTTGCCTGACTTCCATGTAGCTCTTAATTAATTTCAAGTTGCATTGCTAGTTGTTTCCATATCCACTTCTGTCACTTGGTCATACAATTTCCTGGATGACAGGGACATCTTTTTCATCCTGGTTTCTCCCAAGGTACCAACTGTGCTTGGATTACATGGAGTAGGCATTTGAGACGTGTTGGTTAAAGTGGTTACAAATTCACCCTAACATAAATATTTGGTGTCTACCTCCTAATTCAAGTTTAACGTGCACAACAGTCTGCCGAGCAGCTACCACTCTTCTACTCTGTAGATGAAGGACTGTGAGATATGCCAAGGTTAAGCCAGGTGTCCCACTCCCATCGTCAGCAGCACAGAGTCTGAGCAGACTCTCCAGCTGCAGAGTGAGTCTTGTTAACCAGTATCCGCACACACCGTCTCTCTGAGCCCTGGAACCACACGGGTATGAATGACAACAGCATGTTCATTTTTTCAGGGAAGAAATAATGAAATCTCTTAATCCTCCAGGATTTTGCCCATGCAGATCCCTGTGCTTGGAAAGTTCTTCCTGCCCTTTCTACCTTAGGAAATTCCATGTTCCCTCAAGACCCTGCTCAAGATGAACTCTTGAAAGTCTCTTAAGTTTCCTCCAGGTGGTTAGGGACCCTCTGCTGGGCTCTTACATATATTGTCCTTTGCTCTGTCACTGCTTACATGATCTTAGATGACCTGTGCAAGTTTTCTTCTCAATCTCTTGCCTCAGAATATGAGATCTCTGAGGGCAAGGGCTGCCTTTCATGATACTTGGCATGGAAACATTTAATAATTGTTGATTGTAAGGATTTATTAAGCACCTATTAAATATTCACCTGATTTTATTTAATTCTTCCAATCTCCTACAACTAGGTGCCAAATTGTCCCATTTTTTGGATAAGTAAGCTAAGGTGTCATAAGTCTCAGATTCTACCTGAATAAAATATCCTACCTCAGCTCAGTCTAAGGTCCCAGAGTCTTTCTGGCATCCTTGTCCCAAAACACAGGTTGGAGCCAGTACCCTGGGCAGAGCAGGATGTTCTCATGAAGTTTGCCTGCAAGTGGGTCTCTTGGGTTCTTGTTCCTGGGACCTGATCTGAGACCTGTGAAAAGAGTAGGTACAGTACCCAGGTCATGGGCCAGTGGGACCTCTAAAGCTGCAACTCCTTCATTTGCTCATCTCATTTCATTTATGTGTACTTCAGCTGAGCCCAAGGAAATCAGTATCACTAACCACAAAAGAACTTCACGTCCACTTAACTGAACAACTTGTATGCAACAACCTCAGAAAGGCTTAAAAAATGCATATGTAATACAGCAGTGTCGAGTTGAAATATGAACTGTCAGAAACCTGATTAAGCCTTAGCCTGTACTGTATATTCTAAATCTCTAAAGAACACCTCTATTCAAAGAAGATAAACCAATCACAACCAACTATTTAGAGTGCCTATAGTGTCTTGACATCTGTGTTAGGTTCCATGCAAAGTATAAAAACTGAATTTTTATTATCTGTATGGTATAGATTAATAAGCATGAAGTAGGCCCCTAAAGTCTAAAAATAACCTATTCACGATTATCACTTTCCTTCCCAGTATTGTATGAGTAAACATTTTATTCTGGTATAGACCCCAGAGTTAGTTCTTATTAAAAGCCATCATAACTTGCTTTAGATTTATGTTTAATTATTAGGAGAATCTTTTAGTAATTCTATCTGACTTTATAGCTCATTAATTATTATTTATTAATTAACACTTATAAAAGTTATTTAGAATTTCATACTAATAAAGATGCAAAGGATGGCGGGGGGAAATTCCTGAAAATGTCATGAGAAAATCCAGTAATAGAGAGCCTATTTTCTTCTTCTTTTTTTTAATATTTATTTTTCAATTTTTGGTGGACACAATATCTTTATTTTTTATGTGGTGCTGACGATCGAACCCAGCGCCCCGCACATGCCAGGCGAGCGCGTTACCACTTGAGCCACATTCCCAGCCCGGAGAGCCTATTTTCAATTCCCAAAGTTCTTTATACCTATTTGGTGCATCTCCTACAAAGATAGCAACTTACCTAAAAATTCCATTTAACCCATCAGAAAATGCCTTTCCTACCCACCCATACAGCCTTATTAAAATATAATTGATAAGTAAAAATCACATATGTTTACAGCGTATAATTTGTTTTCATATGTGAATAAATTCTGGAATGATTAAATTGAGCTAATTAACATATCCAAGCAATCCCTCCTTCACCTCTGTGGATTGAAAACAAACATTTTATGTTTCTTGCTAACTCAAAGTCCTCATACAGACCAGGAGTATAAAGAACCACTCAATGCAATCCATGATTGTGCAAGAGCAACGAGCACGGCTCTGGCTGCAGTGTGTGCCCTGGAACACCAGGAGTATGAATGACAACGGCATTTTCATTTTAACAGGGAAAAAACCAAACAAATCTCTCATTCCTCCAGGCTTTTTTAGCCATGTTGGCACCTCTACTTGGAAAGTTCTTCTTCCCCTGTCTACTTCTTGAAGCTGGAAGAATTTATGAAGTGTTTGTGATGCAAACAATTATATTTTGACTCATTTCTTAATAACAGTAAAAATATTTTTTTCATAATTTCCTGTTTTATAAGCTTTAAGGAATACTGTTAGTGAACTAGAGTAGAATATTTCTGTAACTTGTATTTTCCTAATAAGAGAAATGAGACTGCATGACAGGGACCCCTTCACCTTGCTGAACCCCTATACCTGCCTGCTTCCCTTCAGAGGGGTAGCAGACTGAGATGACCTGGGGGCCTGCTCAAATAGGGACCTGACCACCACCAGGAAGGCTGGACTGTGCTCCAGGATAGCTCTCAGGCCCTCCATGGATTCTCCATCCTGATCCAGAGAGGAAGGCCAAACCAAGCAACCCTACCAGAAGGCAGAATAGGGACCAGGGAAAGAAAAGATGTAGATAGTACTGGGTCATGAACAAAAAACAGGCCCTCAGCTCCCCTTGGTTTTGTTCCTACTCTGAACTCACAGTGTTCTTTGCAAACTCCTAACTCACTCTTCATCCTACCTTCTTCATGTGTGTAGTTAAACTGTCTGGCAATGTCCTCCCAGGGCACAGCCCTGGAGGAAAGGGTTTGGAGCTACATTAGCTGCAGCAAGTTTTCACACTCTAACTGGTAAGACAAATATCTTTTTACACAAGGCACGTGCTTATCCTTTTGTTGTGTTTTGCACACAAAGAACTAATAAAAAATGAAAAATGCCTTTTGTGAGGCAAAGAAAGTCACAGGTATTAATTTCATCCTTTTATACAGACTGAGTCAAAGACAACTAGCAGTGTGAAGAGTTAGCTAAAGCTCATGATAACATCACAGTGGACTAGTTAGTGTGAAAACTACTATATTGATTATGTTTTCATTAATTTGATTAGATTTTAGATGATGGAATTATGCTGATACATTACATTTCAAACCACAATCAAACTTTGTTTGGTATCTTACTATAAAATGATCCCTGCTTTCTCCTTAGAGATCTCTCTTCCCTAGGCCCCTTCTTAACAACTATTTATGATAAATGTCAATCAATCTTTGATTTTTTTCATTTCCTCAGGAAGTCCTTAAACATTCAAGGATCTATGGCTCCAAACATGAGACTCATGTATCTTATTCCACCTTGAATGCCCGAGCACTCCAAGATTCCTTCTTGTCTTCCCCTAAGTGTCTCGACTTTTAGCTAACTGTACTAGTATCTTTAGAGTTCTAGCTGCCTCGTACACAACCAGCTGCATTTGAAATGATTTTCCCTTTATAAAGTTCAAGGGTCTAGTTTTCTTTGCCTGGATTGATTTATTCATGTCCTTGATGTCTTCTTCCCTGTCCCCAACTTCTGTGGCTTACAATCTGCTGTGTGCACAGCAGCTAAGATCACCCTCCTCAGATATTGTTTTGCTCATGTTACTAACTTCCTCGGAACTCGGAGATGGTTTCCATTTGTATGTTGCATAATACCTGATTAGTGCTTTTAAGAGTCTTTCATAGTCAGGCACCTCATATCTAATTGTCCTCTGCTCTTGCCGTGACCCAGCTGTGCTCTACACCACAACAATGCGAAACACTGGGCCTCCTGGATTATACACCTGATAGGGTGGTGCAGAATTCAGAAGAGTTTTTGAGTACATTTTTTGTACTAACATTTGTGACTAAGACTCCTCAGAGGATGAAGCTCCAGAGTCTAAATATGACAGCAGGGTTGTATTCAGCGTCTCCAGCCTCCTACTTTCCTGTTTTTTTTTTTCTTTCTTCTTCTTTTAAATTCTTTGCTACCAGAAACACTAATTTTCAGGAATTTTTGGAGTAGCACCACTACTGCTCTCCATCAGTTTATGAATTTTCTGGATTGCATTTTTCCTAGTGGTAGGATGAAGACAAGAGGAAGTTGTCTACATAGGGAAAAATCCTTGTGGTCACTAGAACTACAAGACAAGAGTCATGCAGGAACATCAACACAGAATGTCAAGAGGTCAATAAGGCCCGGATCAGACCTACTCCAGCAGACTCTGGAATGGCACTGCCCACAGACAAGGAGCACTGGTGGTCTTTACTGCCAGAGTGGGCTTCCTTCTCCTCCAGTTGTTCAGTCATGAGACACACTATCCTCCCCCACCTGGCAATACCTCCACTCACTCTGCCAATCATGTCTCAGCCTCCTTTGAAAACATTGCTCACTGATCAAATTCAAGTCACTCCAGACCAACTCTACCCGGCACCCAATGTGCAGATTATATCAGATCTCCTTTATTCATGCCATCTAATTTTCCTGCCTTTGGTTGTAACTCATTGCTTCTTAAAGGCCAGCATGTGCTCACACATACACTCACGTGTTTACATGAACACTGTGGGGAGTGGGAGGCCCATTTTCTTTTCTTTGTTGGCTTATGCCTTCTGTTTCCCTTGTAGCATCTTTAAAGATCTTATTATTAGGCACGGAATGCAGTGGTGGCTCTGTAACTGTGACCAATATGGCAACTACAATTTAAACTTTCAAATGCAATAACGTTTAGTAACTTTGACACTGCAAAAATAACACATCACTGAAGATTCTAGGGCAAAAAAAAAAAAAAAAGAAAAAGAAAAACCCTATTTACATATTCTTTTCTTACCCTTATTTTAATTTGTGGAATTAAACATTAGCAACTGTCTGTTTGCTAATCAGATTTCAAGAATTCCAATGGGCTAAAAGTTATTGTGAACTAGTGAAGAGTAAGAAGGATAACTTTTAAAATTCTTTTAATGTCTAGTTCATACGGTAATATGAGGGGAAAAGAAAACATTACCAGGATATGAGGCCAAATTAAAAACAGTCATTGGAACTGCTTGACGAATAAGCCAATTAATCATTTTTAATTCCTCTAAGCCCAACCATTATGACATTTACATAAACTGTCCTGAAACCTTCATGGAATGAGCAGGGCTGTATTCAACACTGCTGGCTGAATTGTTTTTGCACTATTTTTCAACTACTTCCTGTCTGTATGTGTTACCTCAGTCTGGCTATAAGCCAGTGATGGGGTCAGGCCCACACTCCTCTTTTGTCCTTTGGATCCAGCATGGTATAAAGTGTGTATTTGATAATACTTCTGAGATGAACAAAAGAATGATCAGCATTCATGTAATGATCCTGGGTACTTCTAAAAAGTTTTTAATTTTGATCTTCCTAATTATACTTTCATTCCTAATGGTTTACACCGTAGGAATGTTTCCCTTTCAATCCACCAATCCTCTGACCGAGGACAAATGTGGAGTTGGAAAAGTGAAAATGTCAGTGATATCTCACTGTTTCCTGAGTAATTTCTATAAGAAACATCCTTGGTATTGGTATGTAAAGTCAGGTCCAAAAACAGGCAGAAGAGGGAAAATTCACACAGTAATGAGATCCCAGGCTCAGGTTTTCTGTAATAATTTGGAAAAGTTTCCCACTTCTTGCATCCATTTTATTGATTGAGACTCACAAAGAAGGGTTGCTTTATATGTTTGAAATAAATCATCCATATTCTGGGAATGAATGAACCTTTCTGTTAACCTCCTGGGCAACACACAACATCTTACACTTGCTTCTTCTCCTCACCCACTATTTCCGGTACACCAAGTCCTGCTAATTTTATCCCATGGCTCCTGCCCTTGACTGGAATCTTTACCAAAATCTCCTCCCCAGACCAGGCCTCCAGTGTTGGGCCCCCTGAATGCCTTCTCCATGAAGACATCAGACCACCCATCTCAAAGGCAGATAGCTCCTTGTTCAAATCCCTTTGAAGACTTCCTAAAGCCAACAGTCAAAAATGCAGCTTCCAAATCTAGATCTTGTTGCCTATCATGTCCCAGTCTCTACCTACCAAACCTCAGTGTGTCTGAGAATACACTCTGGGAAGCTTGTAAAATGAAA